GGGTATCAGAAATGCACGCGTGTGCGGCGAATAAGAGATATTTCGTCATTTGCGAAAAAAAAGAAAAGCCAGAGTACGAAATAAAAGGTCCAAATATTTCTTCATGCGTGTAGAAACTTGTTCGCGGTTTATTATTATATCGGGCAACGATATGATCGTTTGGCAACAAAAACAATAATAATAATAATCCTGGAATTTTTTCTAGTTGAAGCAAGAAAATACACATAGCTTTGCTATTTTACGACGTCTATATGTATATATTTTTGTCCCAATTGTATGTTCACTTTCGAATTTTTTCGAATTCGCGTGGTATTCTTGTTATTTCCGTTCATTTAAATTTTTTTTTAACTGATCCTAGCTAAATGAGTATCAAATAAAAAATTTAAATAGAAGGAAGGGCTCATTATTGAAAAGTCACGCAGGGAAACAAGTACTCAGTTAACGTGTACTATATATAAACGCGAAAGGTTTTCATCATTAACTGTTCCTGCACTGTGTGCATAGGAATTTCTTCACCTAGTTTGTCTTATGTAAATTAAACGTTAAATCGGATCAAAGGCCAGCTCGTAAAATCGGGCAAACGGCGGAAATAATAACACGCGGAGATCGTACGATAACATTACATTGCAAATCGGTGCGTAACCTCCTGACGCAATCCGCAGATTTTCACGTATACATAGATATATCGGAATAAAAAGTGACGCGAACGTGAATGGACCTCCTTATTTGTTCCTTCCGTGTCTCTCAGACAGAGGAGACACAATAGAGATTGATGCCAGCGCCAAGTCACGATTCTTTACATTGTAAAATGAAAAGGGAAGAACAGGGGGAAAAATAAGACACGTTGTTCTAGGCGTGTTGTGTAACGTCGGTAGACACGTCTACATCGAGCTGCCGCACGTTCCGATTCCTTGGTAACGCCTGGTGTTCGACGATTTCGCGCCAATTTCTGGAGAACGAGGAAGCATAGAAATTTCCTTGCCTCTGCCGTGCGAATAAATAATTGGAAATTCTCTAACATAGTCATTAGAGAGAGAGAGAGAGAGAGAGAGAGAGAGAGAGATTCGACGTGAAATTCGAAAAGTAGTAAATGATGGAGTAACGAACTTTTGACGGATTTATATTTATCGTTCAGAGTAATGCAACGGGAAGTTGGAGAGTTCATCGATCTGTTCTCCATTTCGTTTGAGATATACTTTCGAATATCTATAATTTCACGATCATGAAAGATGCGAATGATTAAGAGGCTGTATAAAAGATATCGGAAGTTAACGATAACTGTAAAACATAGTCGCGAGTGACATTCTATCACATATTACAATTTTTACTACGATTTGAAAGCGAAATAACTGAAAGTGACAGATCGGGAGAGATAATTCACTCGAGCAAAGAAACGTTTACGTCACAATTGACGGAAACGTAACCGGCGGTATGCAATCGACATGCCAGAGGACCAATGTATTGGTCGAAGAAACGTCATATCTGCATCGTCTCTATTTACACATCCATGTACATTCGCCAGTTGATCGAAGAAATCTTTCTCTCTCTCT